ATACGTATTTTTGCATTTCAGGTTCCATCAGCAATGTTCTTTTTTATGGGTTTTTGGGCTGAAACAAGGTTGACCTGCTCATAGTTAAGACAAGCTCAAATGTTTTTCCCATTTTATACTAAGACATAAAATACATCAGTAATACCTCACTCATAATTTTGTGTTTTACTTTTGACGTGTCTTGGAAAAGATGGATGCTAACAAGTGGCTAAATAGGACTACAGAGGTTGTAGGGGACATTTATCATCATAACAATGAATAAGAAAACTCATATACTCACTAGTTCATATGCATATATTATCTTTTCATTATCATATGCATAGCCTTATCTTGATAAACAAAACCAATAAGTTTCATAAACCTTTGTTGCTCACAGAGCTTGTTTTCTGCAATAAGCTAAAAGCCAATGGAAAAATCCTACTCTCTATTCAAGGAAACCAGCAGATGTGGGAGTGTTTCCAAACAAGTTTCTCAAACATGCACACTTTTTGCAATTCCGCTTCTATTTTTCGGTGAAACTAGCAGCATAGAAATGACACACTGCCGCTTTAAGTCAACTTGGAATCGGTAGACACTGTAATTGGAAGAACAGACGATATGTTTTATGACCCTCAGTGGTGTAAATGTTTCCTCTAAAACCACCATTTGTCACAGTGAATGAAAACCATATTTGCACGACCCCACTAAAGACAGGTAACTGTGTATTTTTGTTTGAGTATGTGTGAAACGGTTTCCTTGCTTCACTGAACACATTCCACCGTCACACACTCTGGCTGTGATTTATGCAGACAACCCAACTCAAAGAGCATCTATTTTCTAGTCTATGACATCACTAAAGGTTAAACCCTCAGTGGTACATTCCCAAAGAACAGAGGAGTCCTCCCGGGATCTGGCAGCGGTCTTCCATTATCCACGCACTCCATGTGAAGCGGAGGAATGCACAGAGATGGACGGATCTGTCAGGCTGCTCTTTTGAAGTCCGAGCTGATGGCATCTCCCATGACAGTGCTCTCTGTTGCTTCGCCTTAGGATTTTACACGTTAACACACATACCATATGCTCTCTCTCTATATAAACCCCCTTGATGGTATTGTTAAACAAGCAAGGAATTTACCAGACCTTCATGAGCTCTGTCAATGACAAGGCTACTTTAAACGGTCACATTGACCTTAAGAGCAGGTGTGGGACCTTACATAAGGGACCCACTCATTTTCCCCACCAGTGGAAATGGAATTAAAACCTTTTGACCTCCTTGCAATTTGAAACAGTATGTTTGTGAAAATAGCATAAATTGTTCTGTCGTTACTTTGATGGCTTTATCAGATACAGTCTCAGGAGGGAGTGTGTATATGCATGTGTTCCTGTGTGCTGGGTTTCCAGTAAAAGGGAAGGGAATTTGTAATTCTGTTCCAAAAGAGCTAAACAGTATTTTAAGACATCATAGCTGCCCTCACGATTAAAAAGCTGTTTAAGTAGGTATAAATTGGCATAAATATGCTGCCTTTTTTGGTCAAATTCAAAGGCAACAGCCTATGTATCCTTACAAAAAGTTTCTTATTAAAATTTTCTAACAAGGCTGCATTTATTGGATACAAAATGCAGTAAAAAAAAAAAAAAATTCTAAAATATTATAACAATACTCAAATATTTAAAAATATAATTTATTCCTGTGATGGCAAAGCTGAAATTGTCTTCAGTGTCTGCTTAATTTTTTTTTTTTTTGTGGAAACCATAATACATTTCTTTTCAGGATTCTTTGATATATAGAAAGCTCAAACGAACAGTATTTATTTGATATAGAAATCTTTTGTAACAATATAAATGTATTATACTTATTTTTTAAGAAATTTTATCAATTGAATGCACCCTTTTTGAATTAAAGAATTAATTTCTTTAAAAATCTTATTGTACTTTTGTAATTTCATTACTGAAAAGTCTAAAAAATTGTTCAAGCTAATTCAAAATGGCATATGTTTTTTTTTTTAATTAATTAATTTTCATTATTTTTGCTGTATAGAGTGTTCCAAATCAGTTATAAGGTAATGGAACTTATAAGGTCACATTTCAGTTAGGATGCTGCCTTCTACTGTAGCTTCCTATATACGAAGCTGAAATTGTCTTCAGTGTCTGCTTAATTTTTTTTTTTTTTGTGGAAACCATAATACATTTCTTTTCAGGATTCTTTGATATATAGAAAGCTCAAACGAACAGTATTTATTTGATATAGAAATCTTTTGTAACAATATAAATGTATTATACTTATTTTTTAAGAAATTTTATCAATTGAATGCACCCTTTTTGAATTAAAGAATTAATTTCTTTAAAAATCTTATTGTACTTTTGTAATTTCATTACTGAAAAGTCTAAAAAATTGTTCAAGCTAATTCAAAATGGCATATGTTTTTTTTTTTTATTAATTAATTTTCATTATTTTTGCTGTATAGAGTGTTCCAAATCAGTTATAAGGTAATGGAACTTATAAGGTCACATTTCAGTTAGGATGCTGCCTTCTACTGTAGCTTCCTATATACGCAGCACACAGGAAGGTTTTGGAACAGAGCTGTATGTGTGTGATCTTATCAGATCTGATTTAGTAGTGACTGAATGAGTGTGCTGCAGGTAATCTAGACGTGAACCGAAAACCCGCCACAGCAGCTGAGGCAGTTTGAGAAGAAATTAAGCCCAGCTCTGCTGATATCTCACTTACACCACACACACTTACAATGAGACTATCAGCCACCAGCCTACAGTGATCTCTTCAGCAGCTCTTCCTGTTTGTCCGTAAACACACAATCTGTCAGTGTCCAGGGACACACACACCTCCACCATCATCATGTGAGACCGATGAGAGCCTGATGTGGTGCTAGTATCAACCCAAACCATCACCACACAGCCCTGAAAAATAATAACCTGCCTGACTCAGGTACATATACATGATACTCATACATACAAAACTGTTTACAGTATTGCAAATTTACATTTCATTTCAATGCCAACATGCTATTTCCTGTTAATCTATATAGGCGATATTAAAAAAGCCATGACTGAATGCATTTTGTCTGCAGGAGTGAGGCATCTTGCTAGATAACTGCCAACATTGATATATATCCCTTCCAGGCATATGAATAAACAGTACATTACTTAATAGCACCATTTCTAAATGGACACTGACCGGTCACACCTCCCATAAGGTGCGAATCTCCCATTCCGACACAGCCAGACATCTTAACAAAGCTTAGCTGAACTGAAACCAAAGCCGTAAAAACAGCGAGCACATTAAGGGAGGACTGAGCTCGGAGATTTTCTGGAAGATTAAAGCCAGAGGCTACTCCAGCAGGGGGTCCGGGGCTAAAGACCCAAACGCCAGTTGGTGGTGGCCGGGGTGGTATCCGGCAGGTTATATTCTCAGTGGCGGCTGATGTTTTTTACAGCTTCTTCCAAAATCATCACGCTAACATCTGAGCTTTCACATGTTCCCCTGTCAAGCAATCAACTCCATACAGGATTTCCAGGGGATTTGTTAATAAATGAAGATTAGAGGCATGTACCACATTGGACGATTAGTTTTACACAGGCCTTATCACCAATGTTCTTACTTCTTATGTCGCGACCGTGCAGAAGAAATAATATGCTGCACACAGGACACACCTTCTCTGTCACACAAAACTGAGTTGGGAAAGTCATTGATTGAATTCTAGTAAATGCGAAATAATTGCAATGTTCGGGCAAACCGCTATAGAGTTAGAACACGGTTTACAGGTTTCAAAGAAAGAGAATGAAAGAAAGAAATCGAATACTTTAATACTTGTGTACGAAATAGCTCAACACTAGAGCCAACGCAAACGCAATGACATGAAATAAAACGACATCACGTTTTAAAGAGTGGCTTGATTAAGTGGTGGAAATAGTGGATGATGGGCACAGAACAGTAACAAATCTCTGAGACATTTAAAGTCACACACAGGTGTATGCAAACTCTACTACTCTAAACTCTACTTAGATAACTATATAATAATTCACGTTCACGTTTAAAAAAAATATTTAGCTTAAAGATCTCTGTTTTAATGCTTTAGTTTGTTTTCTATTCTATTCTATTCTATTCTATTCTATTCTATTCTCAGTTTAAATGCTTCAGTTTGTTTTTATATTATATTTTATTATTATGAACCTAATAAATAATTGACCTCAAAATGGGAATTCATGAGCAATATCTGCTTCATTTTTTATATTATATTACTACAAAGAATTGAACTGTTCTGATTTTTTTTTTGATTTTTTTTTTTATAGAATTTCTTGGTAACACAGCACTGTAAAAAAAAATTTTTTCTCAGGTAACCTAAAATGTGCATTATTTAGTTACATCAAGGGTCAAATCAAATATAAATAGCACATGAAAGTTAAACGTTACACACTTTTTTGTGTGTGCACTGTACAGGTCTGGTATAAAGAATGTTTTTGATCAAGTGGCCGAAATGTCCACCCAATAGAGAAAAGTTTTGCTCAGCAAGAAAAAAATCAGAGGGAACATTGCTTATCACTCTTTTCAACTCTCTCTGTTTTCTGACCTCCCACCATATTCCTTTCATTCAAGCCTGTTCACTTGGTTTCTAATGGATTCTAATGGAGCCCTGCCCCCCATCAGCCTACACCTAAAGATGCTTCCAAAAAGAGCGCCTTCGATTGGCATGCCAGCTTCGATTGGTATTTCGATGCCTGTCCATGCTGGTTTATGCTAGACCAGCATAGTCTTTCTTGTAGAAGTCTTAATTGTTAAGCTAGGAGAACCAGCATTTCAACTGACCCTCCACAGAAACTACAAATACAAGTAAATTATGTCATCACCTTTTGTCTTTTTAAATCTTTTCTGGCCCTCTGAATCTCACACACACAGCGTGTGACAGTACTTCACACATCTCTATAACCAGTGCTGGAAAACAGAGAACAACTGACTGCTTTATCTCTCACACATTCTCAAATGTGCCGTTCCCGCGTGATCGTACCTTGTGGTTCTTGCCGTAGCGGTAGATCATCCAGTCCTCTCCGTTAGTGCTGACCTCCAGCTTAAAAGTGGCGACAAAGTAGGACTTGTGTGTCTCTTTGGAGACTGCACCCTGGGTGGCAATGCCCGTCAGGACCTTCAGGAAGTGCAGGTCCACCTAAGGAGAAAAAAAAATGGAAAATTGAATTAAATCTGTGTTGCGATAAGGGTTTTTGTTTTGTTTGTTTTTGAAATTTTTTCGATCGCTTGGTTTCTATTTCTGTGGGTTGTGCTAGGTAGCCCCATCCACCCAAAATCATGGTCCATATTAAAGTATTTTAACTATCAAATACCTTCAGATTGGTTGTGATTGTCATATCACAGTTTGATGCCTAGTGTGGACAGACAGATTCGCAAATTTGACAAATGTCACGCACTAAAAAGTTTAATGCTTGAACAAAGCCTAAGTTGTTAATATGAGCAAAGTTTTTTATATTTTGTAATTTATAAAAGTTTTTAGTTTTTCCTTTTAAGTTGTCACTCTTTGATAGTTTTTCAGTTTTTTTTAAATAATTTTTTATAATATTTAGTTTTTAATTTAAGTTTAAATATTTTTGTCCTTTTAAAATTAAGTCACTGTGTTAAAGGATAGAATTTAACATTAAATTATACTAAAACTAAATAAACATTTAAATAATTTTAAATATTACATTTCTCAGAGCCGTCTAGTGTTACAGTATACTGTATAAAATTAAAAACCAAACAAAAATGTTTTTGTTACCATTTTTATTTTTTTTTTTACTTCATTTCAGTTTGTTTTGGAGTAATGAACATGTATTATTTGAGTGTTTGGTTTTCCAGTTATATTACTTTATTTTAGTTAAGGAAAACCTTTTCATATGGTTTTAGTTTCCCTAGAAATCCCCACTAAAATCAGGATGATGAGAGAGTGAGATAAGTAAAGAAGCAGAAGGAGAGATGAGAGAGGGATGTGAGAGGGATGTGAGAGGAATGAGATAGAGGGAAGAGCTGAAAGATGGATAGAGCTGTGGGAATATGAGGCATCCCCTTCCTGCAGATCACGGGCAGCAGCGAAGGTGTTATCAGAGCCTTAAGATCAATCACCTGAGCTCTGATCGATACTAACCACCTTCATTCAACTCTCCCTCAACTCCCCCCCCCCGCAACAATGAT